AGCTGTGGAGATTCCTCTTTCTTGGCCAGATTCAGACAAAGAATTTCTAGCTTGATTAGAATCCTCTAGTAATTTGACTTTGCCCGATAAGTCATCCACAACCTTTTGTGTTCCAAGTAGCTTGGCTTTAAGCTCATCAGTTTTAGTTTTCAAATTTTCGGATTCCAGAATTGTGGCCATAACCGCCTTATCAAGTATGGGTAATAGCCATCCTGCACCACCTACTTTATAATCATCAATAAACTCATTACCCCCAAGCTTCATTACAATATTCTTCAAGCCTGTTTCAATCTCTACCAGTTCATTCTTCAAAATCTCCAAACCTCTCTCATTTCTCATGTGAGATTCAACTTCAGTTTTCAGATGTTCAATTTCAAGAACCTGTTCATCAAGAACTGACTGCAGCTCTCCCTTTTCGTGAGAAAGTGAGCTTACCTTCTGCTGTAATTTATTAAAACTATCTAATACATAGAACAGCTTCCTCACATCGACTGAATCATGGAGCTCTAACTCTTTTACTGAAAACGCAGAATCAGGGACTTCAATCTCATTTATCTTATCAAAGAGTGATTTCATTTGAGATGATGACAGGAGTGAAACTTCCAGTTCTGAATAAAAGAAAAGACATGCAGGCTAAATTTAAGGGCAAGGAAAAGAAAAACAGAAAAGAGATAGAAAGGAAGTAATTGGCATTAGCTTAACCTGTCAACATAATAGAAAGTACCTTGAACTTGTGACAATGTAGTAGAGTCAACGGATGAAAAATCTGCTTCTCTCTCTTTCACTGTAGCCTCTTTTATCCGATAATTCTCTAGCGCAAGTGACATCTCATTGCACAAGTTTTGCCTGGCTTCCAGATCAGTCTCCAACTTAAGGATTCTGTCTCTGTTTATATCTCTTACTTTCAAGACTTCATCACGAGTTAGCTCAGTTTCTTCCAATTTATTCTGAATATTATCGATTGAATTTACCAACTTATTTATTGCATCCTGAAACTGTTTACTTAGATCTCGACTTTGTCTAGCAGCAAATAACAGCCTCTCAGCTGTCTTCGCACAATTGTCGCTAACAAGTGCTGCTGCTTCATCTCCACCAACTATTCCTGAATACATGGAGATGTTGTCTTCCAAATTTACCAACTTTTGGACAGATCTCGATTCCAATTTATTGTTCTTGACATCCAACTCCAGTTCTCGAGTGGCATCGGCACAGGCAGAGAATAGAATTCTAATATCACTTCCCAACGAGTCTATAGAGTTCTCTTGTCTTTGCTTATCTGTTTCCATATCCTTCACTCTCTTTTTCAAAGATTTAATAAGCTCGATCATCGTTATCATCCTATCCTTCGTTATGTCTAATTTTCTCAACATTGCTGCATTTGACTCATCCATAAATTTAGAGAAGTTATTAAATTTATCTGCTACGACCTTGTCTTTCAGATAAAATCTTTCAACCAATTTCCCAATATGTAACAACATACTCTCATCATCTGTTGCATTCACTTCACCATCAACCATTTCCATGTTCAAAACATTATCAAGGCTAGATGGAAAAGTAGATGAAATAGGCAAATCATCCTACAAAAATGGGAAATATGCATAGACCATCAGGTAAAAAAAGATGCAAAATCTTCAATAAGGACATTGTCAAAAAACCATTGCAATACAAAAATCATAGGATGAACAAGAAAAAACCTAATGTTACCCAGATGCACACACGTACATAGAATGTACATAGACATTTAGGTACACAACATACAGAAAAAGATTGGATGTGTTTCTGTATATATGTATATGTATATGTATATGTATATGCGTGTGTGTATATATATATTGTTGAAAGGATGTGATTTGTATCTTTCTGACATATAAATTATATACCTCCATGACAGGGCCATTTGGAAGCACATCATAATCCATTTCATGAAAAAAATCCTTCATTTCTATAAGCAAAAGATCCATTTCCTTTAGGCTCTCAAATTTCTTCTCAAAACATTTTTGTAGCGTTAACAACAATCTCTCATCTTTAACAAGCATCTGAAGACAGCTAAGGTGTCCAGCGAGCTCCAGAGATCGATTCTTTAAGCTACCATTTTTTCCATCCAACTCTTGCAAGCAAGCATCCAACTTGGAGTTAAGCACTAAGGTCTCTTGTTCAGCATCTTTCTTCGCATTAACAAGATCAGCCAAGTTATTTTCTGCATTCAACAATGCATTTTCTAATGATTTGATAGTTAATGAGGCATCAGCAAGCTTACTGGCCTGTAAATCAGCTTCCTCTTTGAGTTTCTTCATCTCATTATCTAAATCAAGTCTGCCAGTTTGTGCCTTACTGTTTTCTTCAGTTAGCAGCAAAACATTTTTCTGTGCCTGAGACAATGCATCTTCAAGTGCTTGTATAGTGGTGTCAGCTTCAGAGAGTTTGCTAGTATTAATAGAAAACTCCTCCTTCAATTTTTGTAACTGTTCTTCTGCAAGAGCTCTACTTTCTAGAGCCACATGCTTCTCATTCATGAGCTTGGAAATATTGTTTTCTGCTAATGACAAAGCATCTTCAAGTGATCTTCTGCTTAAATGGACCTCTTCAAATCTGCTTGTTTGAGATGAAGCTTCCTCCATTGCCTTCTGCAATTCATCCTCCACATGTGTCTTAACAACTTCTAGTTCTCTCTTCTCTTCTTGGAGAAGAGACATCTTGTTTTCCGCCACTGATAAGGCATGTTCTAGTGACTTTGTCATCATCTGAGCTTCTGACAACTCGCTGGCCAAAGAAATTGCTTCATCCTTTACTTTCCTTAATTCTTGATCCATCTCCATCTTTGCAGTTTCACATTCACCAACATATCCAGCAATCCACTTTATCTTTTCTACAGGCTCTTCAAAAACCAAATCAACTGAAGGTTTAATGCCATCAATTGACTCTATCACTCTTTGTAGCATGCTGTTGCTCTCTACTAAGAACTGCTCAAGTTGATTTCCATGTTCCTTTATAGCAACAAGATCAGCCTCCAACTTGGGAATGCGCTCCACTTCAAGTAGCAATTTACTGATTTGATCTAGGCATTCGTCGAATTTGGATACTTGCTGCTGTAATTCGGTATTCAACTTATCAATTTCAGCGTTCTTTTCATTCAAAGCTCCTTTCAAGTTTTCACGTTCTTGGACGAGCCCCTTGCCTTTTTTGACTGCTGTAGACAACTTTTCTCTCAAAAGAGCATTTTTCTCCTCCAACTGTACAAGATTTTTTTGCAGAACAGCCTTCTCGTTTTCTAGTCCACCGACTTCTCGAGTAACCATTTCCAACTCATTTGATAGACGATTCACCTCCATTTTATCTGGTACATCTTCTGCCAATATTAGTTCATATAGCCTTAATTCCTGATCTCTTATGTACAGAAGACTTTGGAAGCTTTTGAAAGTTTCCCCTTCCACTTGAGAAGATTCAGGATGGCTAGAGTCTTCTTTCATCTTGCCAATGCATTTGTTAATGACTACGGTCATGTCAGTTTGCCCCTTACAAACCTCTTCCTGATAAGTTTTTTCAATTCCAGATGCATCCAGCAACATATTAACCAGCCTATCTTTCTCTAATGAAATCTGATTTTCCTTTTGCACTATCCCTTCATATTTGTGTCTCAACTCCTCCAACTCCGCTTGAATATAGGTATTCTCCAGTGTTTCTACCAAAAGTAATGAGGTTAGGTGATCAATCTCATTATTTAAAGCTTCCTTTGCTGCAGCTACCTCATGTTGTAACATCTCATTTGTTTCAGATCTGTTTCTTAAATCCTCCAGTTCTGCTTGAAGATAACTTTTCTCCTGTGTTTCCGCCAAAAGTGAAGCAGTTAGGCGATCAATCTCGTCGTTTGAAGCTATTTTTGCTGCTTCAATCCCATGTTTTAACTTTACAGCTTCTTCTCTGGAGACAGAAAATGATTCCACAAGCCAGTGGGCACGGGTGTCAAATGCACTAGATAGCATTGTTTCTGGGAAATCAAATGATGACAAGGCATCGGTCAATTTATAGTATTCCAGGGATATAGCCTTCAAAGATTTCCTTTCATCTGCAAGCCAGCTGAGTTTGTGGACAATATCTGCTGACTGTAGTTCCTCCATTGGAACAGACTCTGCTAATATTTCTCCACATTTCTGAAGGATTGTGTCCTTATGTATGAGAGATTCCTGCAGAGAAGCAGCCAAATTTTCACTTGTTGCCAACAGCTCTTTACTTCTTTCTGCAGCCTCAAGAGCACTTGACTTTTCTTGCAGTTCAATCAAATATTTTTCCACCTCACTTGTTTTCTCAGCCAATGATTGCTTCAGCGAGTCTCGCTGCTGTACTAAAGCCTTCCCCTTCGTCACGGCCAAACTAAGTTTCTCCTTGGTATTAGAGTACTTGGTCTTCTCCTGTTCAACTTCTGCACTTAGTCTTCCAATTTCTCCATTTGCATTCTCAATCATTACTTTGTGTTCATCAAGTCGTTCCACCAACTTTCTGTTCTCTTCTTCTAAATGGCTTAGATTTTGGTACAAACTCTCTTCCTTTCCTCTTAATTCAAGCAATTTATCACGTGCAGCAAAGAAAATGCCAATTTCATTAGGCACATTGAGATCTGGTACAACCTCAGTAAGACAAACTCTAAGACAGTTGATCTCAGAAATGAATATATTATTCTTTTCGATAAGATGTTTGATGTTCTTCTCAACAAGAGAGATTTTTCCTTCAAGTGACACGTCCAGAGACTCTTGTTCATGCACTGTCATAGAAAGAGATGCTATTATCCTGTTTGTAATTTCCTCTATACATCGATCCTTCTCAAGCTGAGCCTCGTATGATTGAGACAAGATTTCGTGTTTTGAAGTTAAATCAGACTGAACAGCATGGCCTGATTCAGATAATTCAGCAACCTTTGCATTGAGAAGATCAATTTCCTGATCTTTCGTATTTAGTATAGACTGCAGTTCTCTAATTTTTCCCTCAGTCTCCAAACGATCTTCCATAGCACTGCCAAGGCACTTAGAGCACTCACTTATTATCTCAAGCAACGAGGCCCCAGAAACCTCAAACAATCCTTCTCCATTTTCGCTAGGTGGAGACTGTTGTTCATTCAAACCCTTGGCTTGAAGACAAAGATGAGCAAGTTCTCTCAAGAGTGCTGCTCTTTCTTCCTGCATGGAAAGTGGAATTCACGTTTGGACCAATATATGGATAAGAAAAGTGTAAAACTGAACTACTATGTCAAGAACTGAACCTCGTATCCATGCACAATTCTATCCTTCTCCGCAACACTTTTCTCATGCATATCACGCAACTGTTCCATCTCGGTCGTCAGGTTCTGGATTTTGATCCCATCTGAATCTTTGAATTGGGTGTCCTGTGCATCATCTTTCTCCTCAGAAGTCTGTTGAGTCTCAGAAATTTCTATGTCATCTGGGCAATCAACAAACATGTCCTCCCTTCCTCCATCTTCTGCTACCCTCGTGCCATTTGGATCTTGTTGGACAGAATCTATGGTGATCCCATTAGTTTGGTCAGCGTGATCGACCTGCAAATCAAGAGTGTTGGGAAACATAAAATACTGACTTAAGTTATTCAACAAAAGTAATACACATAATCCTGTTCTATGTGGTCCCGTTAGATCTTTGATTATCCAAAGATTCAGGGATAAGGACATCAAATGTAACCATCATCCCCTATTCCAGTATCAAATATCACTTTACTAGTTCCAGTCCATATTCCTATTTCCAAACATCCAGATAATGGTTCTAGAACTTCTTAAAACCAATAATCTATGAGATACATCAAACAACCTACAATTCTACACGATCAAAAGTGCAGTCAAATTGACAGGATTGTTTGACGACACTTTAATTCACAATA